TGGCTTCCTCCTTCACTGAAGGAAGCAAGCCTCATGTTCGCTTTAAGCTGCCTGGCTGCCGGCCGCCATCTTGGCTGTCAGTTAATTTGCATATCTCCCTGATTAGCTAATTACCATGTTTCTCTTTTATTAGTGTAGATAACAAATTTTGTGGGGTGGAGTTTTCATAAATAGTTTATATTGTACATATTATTCAGTAAGTTCTTCTATATCATGTATAATAGAAAAAATTAGATCTTTTTTAAAAAATTAATTTTAGCCAATTTGCATTAGCTCATTAGATTTTTTTTTCTTTAAATTTGCCTATAGTATTAAAAACAGTGCATTAATGATAGATAAGGAAAAGGTGAACATTAGCATGGAATAGAGGACAAAGAAATGGATGCACATCAAGACCAGGCTTGGAAATTTTAGGCCAACAAGACTGAAAGTATTAAATAAGATTGATAGAGCCTGGCACATAGTAAATATTCAGTAAAGGGTAGCTGATAGCCAAACCATAGAAGAAACCCAATAGGGAATTGAAAAACACTTCATTTTGGGAGGAAGAAGAGTGTCTATTAGCTCTTCTCAGCGTATCTACTGAAATGTCAACCTGCTTCCCTGGCCTCTCAGTACCTGGTGAGTAATGGTTAAAGTGAGAGCTACAGTAGGGATAGTCTAAAAACTATGCCAATTTTATTGGTTGGGAGGGCTTGGGGGGAAGGGGGGAAAAAGCACCAACACAGAATAGTGCAATTACATATCTTGCACTTGGAAAATGTTTGAATAAGCCAATGTAACTTGAAGTTGTACAGTTAGTGGCTAAGTATTCACATGGGCTGCTTTTTGTAAGATACTATAGGAATCGGCCGACATGGTAGGAAGATATAACTTCTACCTAAGTTCTATAAATTTTATTGTACTTTAGCTTCTGAAATTCCTTAAAAAAGGATTGGCCCCAATATTAAGCACAAAAGAATTTACATATTCCTTTATATGTATAAGATTATAGTAAGCACAAAAGAAGACCAGAATTTGGAAAGATCATCTTTTGCTCATTAGATTTCCTTAGATTCTTTCCAATAATTTTAAAATATTTTTTTCATTGGCGTTTGAGGGCCAAGAACAGGAGAGGGTGTTGCTTGTCAGCCAACTCTTGTTTCATAAGAAATATGTGTTTTGTTTTGTTTTTTCAGGAAAAGTTCGTATTTTTTCTTATTTGATTACTTTCTCTTAGATTGATAGAATTGGAAGGTACCCACTAAGGAACTATTGAGCTGGTTCAGCCTTTCTGCTCAGTGTTGTACGAAAGGGGAGAGCACTATAACTCAGGTCTCCTGATTCTTAGGCTAGTGTCTTCACTGTCTCCTATTTTTCTGAAAATAACATTTAAAAAAATTAATGTAGAGGCAGTATGCATCATCTTTAAGATTACAGGCTCGAAGCTAGCCTACCTGGATTAAAAATCTCCGATTTTCCTTTTGCTAGTTGGTAATATTGGTTAAGTTACTTAACCTTTCTGTGCCTCCTGGTTTTCTCATCTGCAAATTTGAGGATAATAATAGAACCTCCTTCATAGGGTTCTTGTGAAGTTTAAATGGATTAATACATGTAAAATGCTTACAATAGTACCTGATTCATGGTAAGTGCCCAAAGAATGTTAGCTGCTATTATGATGATGATGATGATTTTTTACTTTCTTTGTTTCCATACTCCTTAGTATAATCATAGTTTGATATTGTTAATTTTCTCAATTCTGGTCTTTTATATCAATGATAAACTTGATATAACATCAGAAATAGTTGATATTTGCTTCTAGAATGAACTTTGTCTTTTATGCAATGATTATAGTTTATGTGTGGACTATTATAGTTATGTGCTTGCTTTAGAATGAACTACATCTCTGTTTGGGTGTATTATTTGATTCTATTTTTCTTTTTCCACAGCAATACAAGTTCTTGCGCTTTAGGAGATCTTTGCTCTTACTAGTTAAACACAGTTGTATGGAATCACTGTTCTTGATTAGAAATTTCTGCATTGTGTATTATTTTCTTGGTAAGAATTTATGCTTTTTGATAGTGTGTTAGCTCATAGCTCAGAAAATGTCAGTGACATTCTTGATTGTTTTTATATGTTTCCTACATTTGTATGTGTGTGATTAGCCTAGCCCAACTGAATCGTTGTTTAGATGGTCAAAAAGTATTTACTTAAGGGAAAATATTGTTAAAGGAAATGTGGAATATACATACAATGGAATATTATTCAACCTTAAAAAAGAAGGAAATCCTGTCACATGCTACAATATGGATGAATCTTGGGACATTATACTGTGTGAAGTAAGCCAGTCACAAAAAGACAAATACTGTATGATTCCATTTATATGAGATATGTAGAGTAGCCAGACTCTTAGAAACTAAAAGTAGGATATGTTGGTTGCCATAGACTGAAGAGAGGGAGAAAAGGGGGAGAAGTTGGTATGTTCAGTGGGTATAGATACTGTAGAAATATGATAAAACTCTAATGATCTGTTGCACAAGGCACTTATATCCACATTGCCCACTTAAAAATGTTTAAGATGGTAAATTTTTTATGTTATGTGTTTTTAGCACAATAAAAAAAGGTATTTTTTTTTTAAAAAAGGAAAATATATGTGATTTGGTCATTACTTTATATAGAACATATTGCTTTTTATAAGTTTATAACGGTACTAATACAATAAAAATATTCTCTTGCTAAGGGAACCTTGTAGAATTTATTAAAGTGAATTTTCGTATAAAAATACAGCAGCTTCAATATAATGAACAGTACAAGTTAGATGGAAAACATTAATCTCCGTAGCAGCACATAATAGAAACAAAATCCAACGTTCTAAAATACTATTTTCAGACTAATTTTTTCTGTGCTATGGATATATAATTACATTTATATCCATAGAAAAAAGTAGGATCAGAAAAAGGCCATTTTGTTGTCTACCTTTTTCAGTTGTAGTTTATGTAGTCCATTTTTCTACATAGCTTTGAAAATTGTCATTCTAATGTTAATACTTCATTGTATTAACCTACTACAGTTAGCCTAGCTGTTTGCCCATCCAGGCATACTTTGCTTTACTGTGCTTCACATTATTGCACTTCACAGATGTTGCATTTTTTTTTACAAATTAAAGGCAAGAACCCTTCACTAGCAACAAGATTATGACTTGCTTTATTGAAATACAATACTCTGGAATACCACAATATCTCAGAGGTATGCCTGTAGTTGTATGTTAGTCTGACAAAGCCATGTCAGCATTCTCATGGTCAGCTATTTCTTTCAAACTTCATTTCTAGTGCTACCACTTTCCATTTTTTTGTTGTACTTTGGTCTTTTTTGGCCAGTTTCCTCTTTTCAGTTATTCATTTTTGTAAAAAGTTATGTGGGTTTACCGTGGGAGACAAGGAGGCAACACAACTACATGCTTCATTGTCTGTGCCTGAACTGCATAACTTTTGTGAGCGACCAATCACCAATAGACTTTGAAGGAAGAGATGTGATTGGTCATGGATCTTGCTATGCATCTGTTATCTACATACTTATTTGGTTACTGAAAAGCTAGAAATACTATATTGAGTTGCTCGAAGTTAATATACCATGGTAAGTGAAATTTGAATTCAGTTGGAGGACTGGTGTTAGTAACTAAACCCTGGTAATTGAAATATGTACATATCAGAATTGAAAAGCAAAAACTGCCTATATTTAGAAATTATTCTTTTGTCTTGCCCATTCTTAAACAAACTAGACTTTAGACTGAGGTCTTGGTGTCTGTTTGACTATCTCATCAACCTCATATTTCAAAACATGATTAAGGTTTGCTTTTATAACTTTTTATGTTCATAACTTCGTATCTTTCCCCCCCCTCAGGCCATATTCCCAAAGCTTGGATTAGCACTGCTATGAACCTTCAGATAGATGAGTAAGTGCTCTATGAAAAGTCTGATTTTAACTTTTTTAGATGTTTTCATCTTTTTAGATGTTTACTTCTTTCCACATGCTTTGATTGGTTGAGCCTTTAAGATTTTTAAGAATTGTGTTCATTTTTTAAAAAAATTTTTATTGATTTCGGAGAGGAAGGGAAAGGGAGAGAGAGATAGAAACATCAGTGATGAGAGAGAATCATTGATTGGCTGCCTTCTGCATGCCCCCTACTGGGGATCGAGCCTGCAACCCAGGCATGTGCCCTTGACTGGAATCGAACGTGGGACCCTTCAGTCCACAGGCCAATGCTCTATCCACTGAGCCAAATCAGGTAGGGCAAGAATTGTGTTCATTTTTGAATGCACATAGTTCACATAGTCTAAAATTTCAATGATATATATAAAAAGGGCATGCAATGAAGATGATTTATTTTGCTCCTTTCTCCAGTCACCTAGTTACTGTCCCCAGAAGTAATAATTCATTTATTGTTAGAAACAGCTTTTATATTGTAAAAAAGTAGACTTCTTGAGTTGCGTGGTATGCCTCCTTTTTTCTTTTTTGTCCTCAATAATCATTCTATGCTATGTTGAGCTAGACAGTCATAATGCTGTGGCATTATTCTAATTTTGCCTATGAGGAACCAAAATTGAGGAGGGTCATGTGACCAGTTGAAGATCATAAGTGGCAATCAGGTATATGTTCTAGTTATTCCCCATGCACTTGGCAAATAGAGCTTTCATCTTGATTTTTGTTTATTTTTTATAAATCTCACCCAAAGGTATTTTTTCCATTGATTTTTAGAGAGAGTGCAAGGGAGTGGGAGAGGAGAGAGATGCAGAGAGAAACATTGATGTGAGAATCAATTGGTTGCCTCTTGCACACACTCAAACTGGGGCCCAGGATTAAACTTGCAACCCAAGTACCTTCGACTGGGAATTCAACCTGAGACCCTTTGGTGCTCAGGCCGATGCTCTGACCATTTGACAACACTGGCCAGGGAAAATCTTATTTTGCAGATAAATGTAAATTTCTCCATTAATGTTCTTTTAATTATTATTCTACTGTGAGACTTTGTGTCATATATAGTCTTCACTAGTATCAGTTCTTGGGAGTGGGAATATTGGCATATATAGGTGTTTATGAGATATTATGGTTTCTACCGTGTAGATTTCAATTTTTAACGTTTAAAAGTTCCTAGGTAGTGCCCTGCCTGAGTGGCTCAGTGGTTGAGTGTTGACTTCCGAACCAGGAGGTTACGGTTCAATTCCTGGTCAGAGCACATGCCTGGGTTGTGGGCTTGATCCCCAGTAGAAGGTGTACAGGAGGCAGCTGATGGATGATTCTCTCTCGTCGATGTTTCTCTCTCTACCTCTCCCATCCTCTCTGAAATCAATAAAAATATATTTTAAAAAGTAAAGAGTTATTTTTAATAGTGCTATGTGCTTTTAACTACGATGGAACTGTTTGTAGGGTATACAGGAGAGGTGCTAGTTATGTTGAATGATTTTTAAGTATCAAACTAGAAAGCAACCGTAATATAATTTTACTCAACCTCTAGGGGTTGGTTTATAGGTTTGGCTTATTCTTTTTCCATAGTAAGTGGCAGTGAAGATTTTGAACACAAGAAACTGAGTGCCAGTTTAGGTTTACTCTTCCTTTTAGGCTCCCTTTATGTTCTTTGTTAGAAGGTATTGGGGAAAAAATTCTATAGGGCACAAAATGAGAGGAGTTTATTACCATTACTATTTGCAAATAGGATTTATTTGTTTCTCAGTGTTGAGCCCAAGTCTGTTAAATGCTTAGACTGTATTTTTCCCCATAGGATTAAATAGTAATTTTTGTTTTCATAGGCAATTTCATAGGCCTCTTGATACTGTGAGTGGCCTCTTGAATCTCTCATTGCTCTACCATGTCTGGTTATGTGGAGTCTTTCTTCTGATGACTTGGTATATCTCATGGATACTCTTCAAAATCTATGCCACAGAGGTTAGTACTGATTTTTTTGTTGGTACATTTGTATTTTGGAGTACTAAAGATTTATTTTTAGTAGAGCACTGATCAGCATGCTGTTATGCCCGAAGCCATTTTGGTAAATGGGGTTTTGGTCTCTTTACTGAGACTTCACTAGGGATGCATCATTTATTAACCATTATTTACTTTGTTGTTGTTGTTGTTGTTGTTTTTTGTTAATTCTCATCCGAGGATATTTTTTCCATTGATTTTTAGACAGAGTAGAAGGGAGGGAGAGAGAGAGTGAGAGGAACACATTGATTGGTTGCCTCCCACATGGGGATCGAGCCTGCAACTGAAGTATGTGCCTTTAACTGGAATCGAACCTGGAACCCTTCAGTCCTTGGGCCGATGCTCTATCCACTGAGCCAAGCCAGTTAGGGCTATTGTTATCCTATCTAATAAAAGAGAAACATGGTAATTAGCCATACGGCCGCTACCCTTCCCATTGGCTAATCAGTGAGATATGCAAATTAACTGCCAACCAAGATGGCGGCTGGCAGCCAGGCAGCTGACGCGAACAGGGAGGCTTGCTTGCTCCAGTGACAGAGGAAGCCAGGTTCCCTGCCTGCCTTGCCGGCCTCTCAGCTGCTCTCTAAGAAACATTGTAACAAATATAGAAGCTAAACAAAACCCCAGAAACCTGCTTTCAATCAGCCAGGCTTCAGCCAGCCGGACCGCAACATTGTTTCAAATACAGAAGGTAAACAAAGGCCAGAAACCTGCTTTCAGCAGCCAAGGCCTCAGAGCTAAAGCTGGCCCAGAATAAAAAAAATAGAAAAAAAGGACAGGTTGGGAGCTTCAGTCACCCGCCAGCCTGAAAACAGCCCTCAACCCCTCATCCAGACTGGCCAGGCACCCCAGTGGGGACCCCCACCCTGAAGGGGGTGTGACCAGATGCAAACAGCCATCATCCCCTCATCTAGGCTGGCCAGGCACCCCAGTGGGGACGCCCGCCCTGATCCAGGACACCCTTCAGGGCAAACCAGCCGGCCCCCACCCGTGCACCAGGCCTCTATCCTATATAGTAAAAGGGTAATATGCCTCCCAGCACCGGGATCAGCGTGACAGGGGGCAGCGCCCAAACCCCCTGATCACCCTGCAGCTCTGTG